AGGCAATGAAACTAATCCTTATACATTATCCAAAAGAAACAGTTTGACAAAGAAAAAATTTGCTCACATGGCCTTAAATATCTTTTAAAACATCCTTCCATAATTCAGTTTGATTTTAAAAAATGGAGATGTGAAGATTAAAGTCAAAAGTTTTATGATTCATTTTACAATTGTTTTTACAATAAAACATCACCCTTTTTTCTCTAAAAAGACTACCTGAATTTATAATTGGTAGCATATTTGTCTTTCTTATGAAACTAACCATTTTTCAAACTTTTTCTGGAGCTACAAAGCCTGTTACATAAGTTTGTTTGTTTGTTTAAAGAAGGACATAATGACATTTGAAGGTTTAAATGATTCATTCAAAATTCTCTGAATGCAGTTAGATGTGTGAAAAAGTTTAATTACCAGCTATCTATGTGGTTGCAACATTACCCAGGGGCTGTACTTCTTTCTTAATTAAAAATATTTGAACCTAATAATAGACAACTCTATTAAAATATGAATAAAACATTGCAAAGAAGTAGTTTATCAAGAAGTTAGCAAATCACTTTCAGTATGAATTCCTTAAGAATCTTCCATATCGGGGTATTAGGACAGTCATCCTATACCTCCTCTTATAAAAGCCTTTAATTTTCCTTTGCCACAAAGATGCTTCACAATGGCATTTTGTAAGAGCATAGATTTTGTATGCAATGCCCACTTATAATTCCCTGATTGCACTGCCATGATGGCTAAGTTCCTTTTGTGGTCTTTCATAGCCCTTATCATAGTTTATACATTCCTGTCTATCTCCCAACCTATGTGTAACCCCTGAGGAGAGAGGCTTTATCTATTTTAGTCAGTGTTGTACGTTTACACCTGGGAGAAAATCTGGCTTGGTAGGTGCTCCACAGAAAAGGAGATGCTGGGCGGCACCTGTGGCTCAAAAGGGTAGGGCGCCGGCCCCATATGCTGGAGGTGGTGGGTTCGAACCCAGCCCTGGCCAAAACTGCAAAAAAAACGGCAATAGAGCCCAAATACCCAAAGTCCATCACTTGGAGGGCCTTAAGCTTAGAGACACAGCTTTGGTGATAGAAATCCCCAACATGTAGATGCTATAAATATATAATATGAATCATAGTGCTAGCCAAGAAAGGTACTTTCACACCTGCATTTATATTAGAAGGACTTCTTGTCTGCAGATAATTCTCAAGGTTTTCTTGTTGCATCAAGTCCATCTCCTATGAGCCATACTAATAGTATCCTACTAGGTCTGATTAAACTCATCATGTCTGTGTTAGAGCTCAATACTTCAGGCCACCATAATTGAAGTATTAAATCTTAGCTACCTTAAAATAAAGAAAAATTTCCATTCAACTACATCTATTTGTGGAGACAACCAGATAAGAAAAAAAGAAATAAAAGGCATCTTGATTGGAAAAGAAAAAGTAAGACAATATCTTTTGTCTTTTTCTTAGACATTACCAAAAGTACAAACAATAGAATAAAAAAATAGATAAACTGGACTTTGTCAAAGTTAAATACTTTTGGGCTTCAAAGAACATCATAAGGAAATGAAAAGACAATCCACAGAATGGGAGAAAATATCTTCAAATCCTATATCCAATGCACTTTTATCCAAAATAAATACTCTTACAACTGCCCGATAAAAAGGCGACCTAATTAAAGAGGGCAAAGTATTTCAATAGGTATTTATCCGAAAGAGATACACAAAGGGCTAAGAAGCACATGAAAAGATGCTGAAAATCATTAGTCATTAGGAAGGTGCATATCAAAATCATAGTGAGATACTACTTTACACCCACAGGATGGCTTAAATACAAAAGACAGACAAGAAGTGTTCACTAGGACATGGAGAAACTGGAACCCTCCTTCTCTGCTGATGGGAATGTGAAATGGTGTAGCTACTTTGGAAAACAGTTTGGTATTTTCTCAAATGTTAAATGTAGAGTTCTGTATAACCCAGCAATTCCACTCCTAGGTGTATATAACCAAAAGTATCAAAAACATACATCTACACAAAAACTTGAGTGCAAATGTTCATAGCAGCATCATTCACAACAGCCAAAAAGTAGAAACAACCCAATGTCCACCAACTGATAGATGAATAAACAAATATGGCAGGCCGGCTCAAAGGAGTAGGGCACCGGCTCCATATGCAGGAGGTGGTGGGTTCAAACACAGCCCCACCAAAAACTGCAAAAACAAACAAACAAACAAACAAACACCAAATATGGCATATCCATACCATGGATTCAGGCATAAAAAGAAATAAAGTGCTATAATATAGATGAACCTTGAAAATATTATGCTAAATAAAAGATGTCAGACATAAACGGTCACATATCAAACATCAAAGGTCACATATTGGATGATTCCATTTATATGAAATGTCCAGAACAGGCAAATCCATTGAGGCAAAAAGTAGATTATTGGTTAATAAGAGTTTGGGAGGAGGGATAATGAAGAGTGATTGCTACTGGGTATGAGGCCTTTTTTAGGAAGATGAAAATGATCTCAAATTAGACAGTGGTAATGGTTGTACAATGCTGTGAATAAATAAAACCATTAAATTGTTGCTTTAAAAGGATGAATTCCATGTTGTATGAATTCAACCTCAGTAAAGTATTACATTATGGTTACTAGACAAAAGTAATTCCATGGAATCTCTGGGATCTGGGGAAAAATCTATTTGTGACTTAGTAAGAATACAACACTCATTTAGAAAACTCATTTTCACAAATTCTTAGCTGCAAAAACCCAATAGAAAAATCGATTATTGGAACCCTTTCACTATGACCAAGAACTTCCTTTTAAAAGTTGTCTCTGGAAGAAAACTTCATTCCTACTGTAAATTCACTTTGAAATGAGGCAGACTGTCGTATGCCATCAATATTTTTACATTCTATTAAACTGAGATGACTACATTCACAAATATGTGAGCCATTGATGGTTATGATCATGTGGGTTGTTAGAGAGACAACATTTTATTAGTCTGAGTTTTAACACTGAGGTCAAACTTCTCTGCATGGATAGAAAGCAAGGCCTTTGTGCCTTCATCCCCTTACTAAAAATAAAGCTCCTTCCCCTTCTTGAAGATTCCTTTGAAGTGATTGCTCCGAGTCATATCTTTAGATGTACAATGGAACAGTAATTTCTCAGAGTCCCTGTAAGGTAGAAGAGGCATGTCAAGGCTCTTGCTTTATATCTGCAGAGAGCAGCTAGAAAGGATCTTCTGAAATAATCCAAATGGGTTCTGGGAACTGCCTTACACTAAAAGCCTCTTAAATGAAGAGAATGGGTGAGAGCAAGTCCCCTGCTCTCCTTCCAAACTTTGTTTCTTTGTTCTTTTTATTTCCTGACATTATTAGATAGCAGTGTTTTTAAGGCAGTGTACTTTGTAAGAGTGGCCATGTACTTCAAGTTCATTTATGACTGAAATTTCCAAGCTTATCTTTGTGCATTGGTTTTATTTCTACACAAAAATAAAAAAGATTGAAAATAAACAATTTTATGGATATATGGGATGACAAACTCTATTTAATAGAAGGTAGTGGCCAAGAAATTAGGGAGAAAACTGAGTGGAATGCTCCTCAAAGCCTTGTTATGATTATGGTTTTGGCAGCTCAGTATGGGCTGCAGTCAATAGAGGCAGCATTGTAGAAAAAATCCACAGGGCTAGTTTATCAGCTACATTCAAATTCATTACCACCCCAAAGGAAAAAAAATCACACTTAGGCAGAACAAGTTTCTTTTTTCAAAAATATTTTTAAGAATGAAAACATGCAAAAAAACTACCGAAACTTTTATCCTAGATCACCCACAGCCATTTGCCATTTAATTGTGTATACACACATTTGCACACACGTGTGATATAAAAAGGATACATTTCAGTTTTATCTTTGGATGTTCCTTGAGGAGAGGCTATCACTTTTATAGGACTTAAGACATTTCTGCAGCACAGTATGTTGTATAAGTGGTCTAGAGTTACTCTAAGTGCAAGTTGTACCTCTTCAACTAACCAGCTCTTGTCTTTGAATTCCATAACCATTCTAAACCTCACTTTCCTCATCTGAAAAATAGGATGCTAATAGTCTCTATCTCTCAGGATCATTGTAAGGATTAAATGAAATGCTTCATGGAAAAGGGCTTTGTTACTGGCACATGGTGAATTTCAAGAAATATTTTACTTCTACTTTGCCAACAGTAACGGTGTATATGTTTATCACCTGGGCTAAGTAACAGTTAATCCACCCTTTCTGGCTTAGAACATAATTGAATCAAAGCTTTACATTGTGACTTACAGAGAATACTTAGAATATGATACATAGAGAAAATCTCTAATGTTTAAAAAAATGGAATGTAAGTGTCATTTGTTCTGCATAGACTCACTTGTCTCGTTTCCACGTATAGCTTATCAGGGAATTGAGGGAAGAAAAGTACTAATGCAGGAAAGAAAAAATCAATCTGATGGACATGAATATAGCCACCAAACTAGCCTAGGGATTTATTCAAAGAAACTGCTTTACTGTTAACCTTCACTCCGACCATTTATTATTTGGGGAACTGCTGCAGTGAGACCAGAAAGTGAATCGAATAATGATGTTTTTATGGTTCCTAATGTAGATTGTTATTGAAAATTTGTCAATTTAACTGGCAAGCTTTTGGCTCAGAAATAAGATCTTCATTTATAATTTGCAGGCAGTGATAACTGAAATTATGGGAAGTAACTAGGAAATAAAAAATGACTATTATGATGAAAATTACATAATTATCTTTCTCATTAAAAACATGAGGTATTCTATTATCCTTGGGATGTGCAGTATACTCAAAAGCTTCTGTTACCAAAATAAAATACACCAGAAAGGGAAAAAATATATTACTGATTACCCAAATGATGAAAAATAGATACTGCTAAAAACGTGCGTGAAGTGGAACAGAATGGAACACAGCAGGATGTATTGCCCACGTATGGAAACCACAGCGAAACCACTTACACATACTTCAGTGATCGGTCTCAGCTTTTCCCCTGAGATTTCTTTTAGGGAGGTTTTGTTTTGTGAAGCTGGTACTTGATGAGCTGGTAGGTTCTTTGCTTTGATAAGGGTGTCTGGAGTTTTCTGAGAGGATCCACACCTTGTTCCAGGGGGAGAAAGGCATGGTGTAGGCAACATACTTGGTTGAAAGCTGTTTCTATCTACTTGCTCCGCCAAGGAATTCTGGCTTTCTGCTGCTTCCTCATCTGTGTAGGCACTTTTTAGATATTCTTTACTTGTCCGCCTTGCTGCCTTCCCCAGCACGCTCTCTAATGTTAACTGAGTTAACCCCGAAGAACTAGTTGTTGGGCCTGGAGAACCCTGGGTACTGTGGTTACCCTACATTGGGGAACAAAGTGAAAATCTTTTTGAGCAGAAATTTGTGGTCAGTTATTGAGCAGAAGTTCTTAATAAGTTCATATATTCTATGAATAAAACAAAAGCAGATATAGTTTAATCTGCAAAGAAAATATGAATAACTGAAAATACCAATGCAAATAGGTATAAATCATTTGCTAAAATGCCTTGCTATATGGTATCTGGTCTGGATAAGGCATAGTTTTTACTCACACATAGCAAGAGAACATTTAAAAAATAGTTATTAATATTCATTCCAAAGAACAGCTAAACAGAGAGGATCCACATCTAAGAATCAAACACATTGAGTTCCTGATAAGCTAACTCCATGGGAAAAGAAATAATTAGAACTAATAATGGTAGTTGCCTGATTTAAGCAGAAAAATGGTTCTGTAAATACAAGTGGGTCTAGCAAAGCACTTTTGCCTTATTGTTGGGCAGTTTTATTGCCCAAGATCAATAGATACTGGAATATGTTTCATAAAGTATTTTTCTTACATGAAATTTCAGTTTAAAGTGTATTTTTTCAAAAAAATATGACACTCATTAAATACAATTGCTTGGAAAGCTGAAAGTGAAAGCTAGAATTTTATAGTGCATAGTTCTATGATTATCCATAAGAAAGCAAAAGTTTAAATTCTTAAAATCTGAGAATATATATAAAATCAATGGCCATGAAAGCAAATAAAGAAAACAAGAAACATAGTGCCATTTCAATTGGTATTCTGTTATAAATTAATACATGTTAAGAAATAGCTGTGTGGATCACTGCATGTACCTACCATGGTAGATTTTTCCAATTTGACTAATTTATTTAAATATATAATAAACAAATGGGTGTTAAATGATAAGCGTAGAATACAGAAAAAATAAAAGCAGAGTACATTTTGAAGACATAATTTGGTGTCTTACAATGTATATCTTAATATTCAATTTCAGTAAGCTATTCCTCTACACTTCTGTTTATAGCCACACAAAACCAAATATCCATCATTTTTAAACAAAATAGTTAGGTGACTAATTGAACTGTTCCATTTCTTCTTGAAAATTTGGCTGTCATACACCTTCAACATCTAAAAACTATTTAAGGTGAAGTTTCCCTTTCAGAAGAAGGTAAGTATGTTTAAAGGGAAGAGAGTCTGCACTAGGTTGGGCACGGGACAGGGAAGAGATTTATGAAAGCTTTTCATTAGAAGGGATCTATGTCATCTGCCGTCATTCTAGCTCTCTTCTTTTCTTTTGCTTCATGGGCCAAGTATTTCTCTAGGTGCTGCAGATACCAGGAATGTAATGGTACACCAGAACGTAATCCCTGACACCCAGGGACTATATACGGAAAGCAACGGGGAGGCAAGGCATGATATGAAGTGGGGGAATGCCACAGTGACTCAAAACAGAAACCACGGGTATGAGGAGTTTGTGAATATTGTTGGTGAAGTGTTTGTGGTGGTTTGTGGCAAGAGCAGAAATGAAGGCCAATCAGTAGACTACTGTATTATTATTAGAAATGCTGAGGTGCCCACATGAAGGCAACGGCAGTGATGACAGAGAAGCTGGTCTGATTTGTGAGCTCAAATCAGTATCTCAGGGCAGGGTATGTCATGCTTAGTAATTCTGGAAATCTCTTATGTGGACTATGAGATCTGTAACTCTGTCATGTTACAATTTTTTCTTCTTGTGGGAAGTAGTTGGGATTGACAGACCACTGTGTGCTCAAGTATGTACATTTGGGTCTTAAGACCTCTCCTAAGAAGTAGCTTACATGTCTATAATAAAAGATGAGAAGTGCAGACTATAAGGATCTTTCTTAAGCATTTTTTTTTTTTTGGTATTCATCTAGGGCATATATTTTCTTTGTTAATGCCAGCTTGGTCTTCTGATACACACACACACACACACACACACACACACATATACACATACACACAGACAATAAACAATGGGGAAACTTTATCTTTCAGATTCCTACATAAGGAAAAGGAAAGATGGTAACTGGATGCCAATCAGTGGGCCCTCCCTTATTTTGTGGCCCAGGTGAAAACCTAAGAAGGGTGAGGATATTTCTGCACTCATAACAATGCCTGTATAGCTTTGGCTTTGGACGTGGGGCAACCCTCTCTGCTGTAGGCCCCTGAGTGAGCTTGCCTTTCCCCACCACTCTGGACACCCTGAGCATGTTCATAAGGTTAAATAATTCTGCTTTGGGCAGAAAATTTGAAAGAGTGCCAGAGATACCTGAAAAATGCCCAGTGTTCTAAATTACTAGGAGATGGGAGTGGTGACTCTTGCAATATATATTTTTTTCACAAAGATAAAGAGAAGAATCAAAGTTTAGTCTTATGTAAAGAAGAAAGTAAACAAAAAATAGAGCAAACATCCCTATTGTCTTAGTTGAAGAAAGTATTGGTGGAACTTACATAGATGCTTTTTAATTTGGTCTGGCTTCTAGACAAGGCTATCTTTTCTCCAAATTAAAAAAAATACAGTTTAATTTCCTATAATTTATATATAAACTGGCAGTGGGATGCCTGTGATAAAAAGACCCCGTAGCCATTCATTTCTGCCACATTTTCATAATAAAAACCAAAGACCTATATTTTGCACATGACATAGGTAGAATAAAGACATTTTTGCAATCAATAAGAATTCAATAAATATTTATTAATATCCTACTCTGGGTAAGTCATTTTCTAGACACTACAGAAGATATGCAGGTGAGGACACAGACACTACCTTCAAAAGGTGTAAAGTATAATGGCTGAGAGAAGATATCTAAAAAGTAATAACATCCTAAGGTAGATGCTTTTAAAAAAATTATAGATGTACCATTTTGGGATTTAGAAAACTACATGTTTGCTACATCATTTTGAAAATACTTTAAATGCATGTGGTAAGACGTCTATTTTTCCACCTGCAGTGGGTCAGAGTATATAGCCTTTTGTTCCTTCCAGTAGTTTACTCAGGTATAAAACATTTCTTTTTGCTTGCCATGAGCAGCTCTTTTATTACTGGAAATATTCACGAGTGTGTACATGGACATTGATCCTGCATTTTTCCTAAGATATACTTTGGTTTGAAGATGAGCCAAGCAGCAGATGGATTTAGTTGTGTACCCTGGTGAGTGTTCTCGTGGTTGCACTGTATTTCCACAGTAATATGTTTCCATGCTTTTCTAAATTTATAGAAAGGACAAACAACTAGAGAGTCTGGGCTTGTTTACCCTGGCTGCTCAGAACCACTAATTTTGGTTTATCCCAGATTCCAAAAGAGGAATTGAGATGACTGAGAAAGGAAAGATGACATGATACTAAATTTAAGTAATATTTTTATTTGCCTTGGGTCAACTTCTTATTCAGAGAGGAAATGAATGGAGAATAAAAAATAGTACAGTATAGGTCAAGCAGCTAAGGTGCCAGCCACATACACCAGAGCTGGTGGGTTCGAATCCAGACTGGGCCTGCCAAACAACAATGACAACTACAACCAAAAAATGACCAGGTGGGTGGTGGACACCTGTGGTCCCAGCTACTTGGGAGGCTGAGGCAAGAGAATTGCTTAAGCCCAGGAGTTGGAGGTTGCCATGAGCTGTGATGCCATGGCATTCTACCCAGGGTGACAGCTTGAGGCTCTGTCTCAAACAAAAACAAAAACAAAAACAAAAATAAAAACAAAAACAAAAAGCATAGTACAGTATTTACTAGAAGTGGAACACTGGCAAAACCCTATTCCTTTTTTAGTAATGCTTTTACTTCTTTTATAAAATGATGTTTATTGATTTCACATATGTAATTCATTTGGGCTCAGTGTGTTTTGAGATTAATTTTGCTATATGACATATAAATATATTATATGCATGAGAATTTAGCTTACTATGATCTGATTGAAAAAAACAAACACTTTTTCCCTTTTGGTTTATCATTTAGCTGCTGAAAACCTGTACAGCAAGTGAATGTAATTTGTCAGAGTGGCAAAGAAGTTGTCATGCCATTTTCACATTCCAATCATCTGTTCATCTGTTTCTCAGAAGAACAAGTACAAAATGCTTTTGATTTAACTTAATATATATTTTTTAAAAGTCTCAAATCTCTTGAACCATTTGTCTTCTGTGCTCAGAAACATTTGTTTGTTAAATATTCAATCATGCCCTAGTGCCAGGAACATCAGTAGAATTTGTCTGATTAACTGTAGCACAGCATATGTACACCGAAGATGAGAATGATTTCCCCAAGGAGCCAGCACTTCCTCTGTTGAACTACATTTCTTAAAAGGACATGCAGATGGGCATTTGGACAATAATTTCCGGCTGCACAAAATGGATTGCTCTTGCTGAGTTGTAATTTTAAAAAGATAATTTTAATGACTCTTGAGGGCCACCTACTTGGAGCAGATGGGACTCAGGTTCTTTGTACAACTTTAATGTTGAATGAGTCAGGATAGAACTCTATCTTAGCCTTTGTAAAAGTGAATGATCATCTTTATTTACATTTCAATTGAATTTTTTTTTTTTTTTTTTTTTAGGTTTAAAGAAATTTTATTGAGATGTAATTGTTGTACCAAGAAAATCAGCTCGTGTTTTGGTTTTTAGTGTACATGTACTTGAAAACATCATC